ACCCCCCACCCCCAGCATACACCCGGAAGGGTTTCCCTGACACACTGGCTGAGGTGCCCTAGTTCCCCGACACAGGACTGGATCACTTCCGGCGGGGAAAGTCCCACCTCTCCCGAGCGAGGCCGGTGGCGCTGGGGCCGCGCCCTGCTGNACTGGGGACTGTTTCTGGTCCGAGCCATGGCCATGGCAAAGGGCCTCTCCGAGGGCCTCCAGCGCCTCCCTTTCCCCGCCAGCCCGCAGCTGCTGCCGATTCTGCTGCTGCTGCTGACAGTGCCACCCCCAAACCATTGCAGCCCCTCCGCGTCTCAGCCGCGCTCAGCCCCGCCTGAATACTCGATCCCCTCGTTGGCCGGTGCGACAGCCAACAATTATCTCACGACCGGGAGAACGCTAAACATCCCTGGACTAGATGTCGCAGGGGAAATAAAACAGCCAAGAAAGTTTCTTCTCTTTGCTGGTATTTCTCCCAAATGATACTTTTTTCTAAGAAGCGCGTGCAAATTTAAATTACCCTTAGACTTCACTATTGCTCTGACTTCCTATGTGGTGCGTTTTACTTAGCTGTGCCTGACAAATCATTAAATACACAGTACTTTTATCATCTGGCAAACCGGCCTCGACTCTACCAGCAAAGGCCAAAGACGCTCCTCTTTCTTGTCACCCGGCTCAGAAAACAAAAGGATTGCAAATACACTTGACAGGGACTCTAACTGTTTCTGTTTGATTCCAATGGCTACCCAGCAGGAAAGGTAACCACTATTCAGGGAACAGTTGACTGGAAATTGTTGATTCCTGCAGATTAACTTCTTTTAGTCTTTCATTATCTGCATGCACAGCAATTTGTATGGATGGCTTTTCCTTGATAAAGTTTGTTTTAACGGCCATCCTGCATAGTCATTGAAATTCAAAAGGAAAGGACCTTGGTGTTAAACACTAAGTTTTTATTTTTAGATAAAATTGGTACTTCTTACATATCTTTCCCTCTGCCAACTTTCTATTTGTAAACTTTGTGTCAGATCACAAGCCCAGAAAGCTAGGTTATATTTTAGGAATGTCACTCCCTTTTTGATTCAAGCATGCACCCAGAAACCAGTGAGACTCAATGGCCAGTCCAGTTCAATTGACTCCAAATTCCTTACCTGCAAGCCCTAATGGTCAAAATGTATAAAATTATTACCAAACCCAAATTGTTAGATATTAGAAACCAGGAAAATCACAGTAGTGTGAAGAAGTCCTATTGTCTCTCCCTGAGTATTCCCCCAATGCCACTTACAGTATCCAAAGGAGTGATTAGTTCAATTTTTCCTCGGCCTGGGGGTGGTGCAATCAGCCAGCGAAGTCCCCAGCTCTGGCTCCAGCAGGCCCTAGTCTCGCCTGATATCTGAGGCACTGCCCTCTGCTGGAGGAGGCTTGGTTTATGAGTTGTGTTTCCCCATAGGTCACTGCTCCTTCCACACGTGCTGTTGCCCGATTTGGAGCTCTGCTGCCCATCTCCTTGTCTAACTGTCTCCAGGCTGTCTGGTGGAATTCACAGTGATGCGCCAGCCCTGTTTGTAACTGAATCTAGAAATTCCTCTTCTGATCTAGCAATCAGTGTTGAGCAGTCTGGTAAGTTTCTGTGCTGTTACTAAACTGCCGAAACAGGGAGCTCTTCTTTGTGAGGTCGTCCCACCTGTTGGCAACTCCAATAGCTCTGAATGTGTTGGGCAAAGTGTTTTGGAAAGAGTTCGTTTCTCCTTGCAGTAAAACATACTCCTCCGCTCAGTACAGAGTCCTTTTGGGTCTCTCTCAGCAACTACAGGGTTGATGAATGTCACACTCAGTCTGAAGATCCTTCTAAACTTGCTTAGGAAGGGGATTCATTACAGCAGCATTTAGGAAAGCAAACAATTGGAAGTTAATTTAAATGTCCTCTAATATATGATTAAAAATAATAATGTGTCATAGTATTCCACTAATTGGAATACTATGCAGTTATTAAAGAAAAGTAGATTTGGAAGTGCTCAAATGAAAAAATGGCCAAGATATATATTGTAAGTCTGAAAACAAGATACTGAACAAATATATAGTTGCTCCCATTTATGTAAAATATGTATGAGTATGTGCAATATATAGTTATATAGCCATTAAAATATGAAACAGCTATTAATTATCAGTGAGGGGTATTATGAAAGGACTTTTATTTCTTCACATTATTTTAATTTTTAAGCAATAATTAGGTATTACTGAGAAAAGGGAATAAATATAATTTTATATTTTTAAAGGAGAAACAAAAGAAAATTGTTCAAAAACCAGTATCCTGTCTAGGGCTCGGTGCACAGGTTTGCCCAGTTTAACGAACTCCCAAGGTCTGTGAACTAAGGCAGACAGGCATTTAAACAGCAGCTCCCCTACCTCCTAGCTGTGGGACCTCAAGCAAGTGATTTCACATCCGAGTCTCTAACTTCTCATCTGAATGGAGCTAATCATTCAATGTGAGAATATAAGGAAGTATTATATGTAAAATGCTTAGCACAGTCCATTGCTCATTATAAACCTTTAATAAATGCTAGCTATTTGGTTTTTTAAAGTGTTAATAAAGTTATTTGTTTAAAAAAATCAGCAAAGAGAGGAAAACAAAACTTAAAAAGCCCAAGTAGCTCCATGCCCGGTGAGTGTGGCTCAGTTGGTTGAGCGTAGTCCTATGCACCAAAAGGTTGTCAGTTCGATTACCAGTCAGGGCACATACCTGTGACGTTTCTCTCCCCTTTCTCTCTCTCTTTCTCTCTCTTCTCCCCCTTCCTCTCTCTAAGCATGTCCTCGGGTGAGGATTAAAAAAAAAAAAAAAAAAAAAGCCCAAATATCTCCAAATGACACAAAAATAATAAAACAACTCAATTAATCTTTCCAAAGGTATTTATTGTTAAAAGGCTTCTTGTATTTCCTTTCAGGGAAAAAAAAAAAAAAAAACCACATTATTTCTATGCTAGTATATCTACCAACCCACCTTTTATATGTATTTTTAAATCACTAGAAAAGTAATCTCACTATTCACACCATTCTGCACCTTGCTTTTTTTCACTTACTATATCTTGGTGATTTTTCCATATCAGAATATATAGATATACCTCATGTATTTTTAATGACTGAACCACGATTTAGTCAACCAGTTCCCTATTAAAGGACACTGGTTACTTCTAGTTCTTTATACTGAGTATCTTCTACACACCTATATCTTTGCCAGCTAACACTTCAGGTGAATTTCCAGTACCTGAATAACTGAAAAAAACTGGTACTTGCATTTCAAATTCTTCTTGTCCTTCAGAAAGATCAAACCAATTTACATTTCTTACAACACAGTATGCCTCTGTTTCTTTATAACCTCGCCCTAGGTATTATTAATTTTAGTATTTAATAGCTCTTGTTACTTGCTTTAGGATATTTTCAAGACTAACAAATGAAGGGTAGTGTTATAGAAGAAATTTGGGCTTCAGAGCCACATAATCCTAACATTGCCCTTTGCCAGCCAGATCTCCATTCTGATTTGTAAAGTTGGCATCATAGTTGTGTCTAGCTTATAAGGCTCCTTTAAAGAGTAAGTGAGACCATCCATTCAAAGCACTTAGCCTTACAAACACTAACTGCTTAATAAATGTAAACTGCTTAAATAATAACTTTCCACTCCCAAGGCTCAAGAACAGGGGGAGGGTAACTCCTCCAGAGAGTATGCCCTTGAGAATCAGAACTTTTGCTTTCATTCTGTATCAACCTCCACTCCAAAGTAACTATTGCTTGGGCAATCATTTTCAGGAACATCAGCAATTTTTACCATACTGTGAAGAAATCTTGGGGTATAAACTATATGCAGAATATAGAAGTTACAGGTACATAATATTGTTTTATGCAGTTAGCTTGACACAAGTTTAAAATGCTAAACATTTTGCTTCAGGCACCAGTTGTTCACTTCTTTTATCCCTCCTTCCCAATTTAGGTGTCCTTCAGTTGTGAGCCCTGGAGTCATTAACTTCTGGATAGTTGGATAGTTTTCTCTCACTTTCACCCTCCAAGTAAGCCCTCTCACCTTTCAGGTACTGGGTGGTGGTGGGGGGAGGGGGGAC